CCCCCTCCCTCCTAAAAAAGGCCTTCAGTCATTTTGGGCCTAGTGACTTGCAATTCCTCCCTCAACAAATTATACACCCCTCCCCCCAAATAATAATAAAAAAACAACACTGTTTTTAATTTCAGCCTCCTTAAATGACATTACAGTCCATATGATATACAAGTAATGTATGGAGATCAGTTTGGACAATTGCTCTGTCGATCCTAGGGCTTAGAGGGTGATTGATTCATCTCTCAGTATAACTGAAAGGAGCCCAGGGTGGGGTAATCCTCTACAGATTTTTTTTTTTTCAAGCACTGACAGTAGCCGGAGAAAGAGCTGTGAAGAACAAAAAATAAAGTCATCATTCAGTTTACTGAATTGTTACTACCAGACAGTCATAATTATAAAATAGGATACTGATTGCAAGAAAACATTAGATGTCAAATAACAGGAAAAATTGTTAGCAGCTCTGACAAGTAAGTGAATCTATGAAATATCATGTGAATAAGAATGCCCCCTCCTTCCAAATGGGTATAACCTTCCTGTTATCTTACTTGAAGGATAATGACATTTTATGCAGTAAAATGATTGCAAAGAAAATGTCAGTATGTAACTTATTATTAATATAATTTACAGCCATTACATTAGACCAGTTAACTTCCTATATTGTATAGGATTAAACACAAAGTAAAGAATAGTATGGCTGTTCACAAGATATCAGAATACCCACCCTCATGTCCTCCCCCATTTCACGCCTAACAAAACTGACAAGAAACTTACTCTTCACGAAGTGACTGGCCAGTAGATGAACCCTTCTCATCAGGTTTAATTGGCTCCACTATGTCGCCTGCAGTGGCTGAAACATCATGGACACATAACATCTGGGTTTCCGCTTGGGTTGTTATAGCTTCTACATCGTTTGTGTTTTGAGATTGTTGTTGCACAACTCCTGCTGTACAACTTCTTTCAGGCATCACTTGCAGCAAATTGACCCGCTCTATTTCAGTTATCCCTGTCGCTAAGACAACACCGCTTTCACTGTCTGACAGAATATTGTACTCTACCTCTTGATTTTTCTTTCTTTTCTTTTTCTTCTTGGGCTTCCTAGAGGAATCGCCTTGTACATTATAGTCTGGTGTGATGCTTGAGCCATGGCAACCGATTTCATTTTGATCACTTGTAGTTGAGATTGTCAACAACAGCTCTTGTTGATCTGAAGTCAGCTCTGAGAGGGTCTCATCAGTAGTCGTGAACTCCTGATTTCTAGGATCTTCAGTTGCATCACCTTTGATTTCACCCGCTTCCGGAACTGTAGTGTCAGACGAAAGCGCTTGTGAGGGAGCCCTGTCGTTTGAAGGAGAGTTGGAAATAACATCAAAATCACCCGTTTCTGAAGCTAATTTCTTCTTCTTTTTCTTCTTCTTTTTCCTTTTGCCGCAAAGGGCGCCTTCCTGAATGTCCTCGCGCTCTGGTTCGCCTTCTTGGAATGGTGATGATACTGTACCGGCCGATTCTTGGAAAGAACCTTCTTTGTCAACTTCCGCCATTTGTATCAACAACGGTTCAGTGCAAGTCGATGTTGCGGGATGATCACCTTGAACATTTTCCCTGATAGTGTCAGATGTAGTATCAGAGGATCCTGGATTAGTTTTCTTCTTCTTCTTCTTCTTTTTCTTCTTCTTTTTGCCGCTGGGATCATTCTGCTTGGGGTCATCGTTGATTTCACACTCAAATTCGGCTGCGTTTACAGCTGCAACCGTACTCGCCAATTCAGGACAAGAATGACTTTCCCGACCAATTTCAACGGGTATTATTTCTGATTGGTGTGTAACAGGTGATAACTGAGTGTCAATGCCATCATCTGCCGATTGAAATTCCGTTCTGTTCGAGGTTTGGTTCTTTGAGGCTTCCATCGCAAATTTAAGCTTATGTCAATTTTAAACTTTCCGCCGTGAACGACATCACGCTCAGCAATAGATATTCACGAAATCTGAATCTATAAATATAACATAAGACTATAAGCATACAGCCGTTCAGTGTTGAATCCTGTAAAGCCCAGCAAATGTAAGAAAATCCATTTACAAAGCAAACACCTGATAAGAAGAGACAAAAACAAAACAAAACAAAACACTTCATACCCTGTAATTGCATCGTCAGGTTAATTTTCCTTCGTTCACTTCCGTTTTGATTTGTCTTAGCTCTTGGTTTGAATCATCGCGGACCGCGGACGAACAAACTCAACAATCCAGTTTACATCGGAACTCTCTCACGTCACGCTTAACTGAGTTTTCCGAGAAGTTCGTCTAAGTTTTCACAACTGTCCAAAAGAAAGAGGAACTCAGATAACGATACCTCCGTGTTTACGCTGCATGGGGGAGTTTGGCTGTCGCAGTCAGTGCGTTCAAGAGTGGAGACTGGGTCTGACCTCGATTCAGTGCAAGCTACCGTGGGAATTTTTTGAAAATTAGAAGTTGCCCTTGTCTCGGTCACTGCCTTGTGCAGTGGAATTGAAGGTTAGTTTAAACCTATCGTATCTTGATACGTTGTTTTCATGGGTGATGATAAAGAAGCACTCCAGTTACTGATGTTGCTGATTGCTGACACAGACTCAGTGTGCGATGCCGATTGATGGTATCCGACCGTTTAGCCCAAAATAAGTCGAAAATTATTTCTAGTTATTTAAGAGTGAATATCAGTCTCTGTTTATCTGTCCTTGAGAATGAGCTTAGCACATTGTGTTCTTCAATCAATCAATCGCTCAATCTATGTTTTCACTTACACAATAACACCATTACAAGTAACAGCAGTTGGGGGTTATATATGCCTCTGGTCTCATTAAATTATGATGTAAACTAAGTGAGTGGAGTCCAAAGGAAGCATGGCTTGTAATATGACTCCGCAACTGGTCTCCGTGCAAAATTGTATTTAACAAACAAAGAAGCTTAAGCCGTGTATTACTCTGTGATAAAACACGACGGGCATTTGAGAACACGAGGGAAATGTAGAAAATTCGAGCCGCAGGCGAGTGTTCTCTACATTTCTCGAGTGTTCTCAAATGTCCAGACACAGTGTAACGGCTTAGGCTTCTTCATTTGCTTTATGATATATCAGAAAAGAGCCCTAGGAAAATACGCGCACTGATTGGTTAAAAATCGTGTTTCTATTAAACAATTAGATTATAAGCTCGAGATTTCTCAGCACGCATAGAAATCGAGACCGAATAATCTAATTGTTTTAGTATAAATCTACTAGTCGTTCAATACTTTATCTAAATCCTCTTCACAGACACCTCGAAAACGTAAAGAAGCGGCCGTCATCAGTTTTGTTAACAAGGGCACACTACTATGCTACTATCTATCACAGAATAGATCACGGTGATCGAGAGCAGCGTAGCCAATCAGATATCGAGAACGGCATTCGTGATAGTACGCTAGTCGATTTATATTAAAACTCGATAGAAACACGGTGCATGTTTTCTATTTCTTAAATAAAACATGGGTTTTTGACCAATCAGAGCGCGCGCAGGGTCCTATACTATAAAACAAAACAATATAAGAAAAAAAAATACGTATCGCAACGTTTAAATTCTAGCTGTTCAAGACAGTCAAAAATACAGTTCCTCGAATACAATATAGTTGCTCCAAGAGAAGAAAACAGAAAACCTGCCATACCCCCGTGCTCTTCGGTCGCATCAGCACCACTCACGTGCAGTGCACTGTGCCATTGAAACCTAACTACCTACGTGTAGCCGCACGATCCTTTGTCAGGAACAGCAAGCGATTTGAAACAATGTTCTGGTTTATTTTCTCGGCACTTAGAAATCGATGGAAAATTCGTGGTGTGGCTGGAAAAAAGAACCAACTTCATGTGGAAAATTCGTGGTGTGACTGGAAAAGGAAACAGCTTCTTGTAACATAGAGCAACAAATTGCTCCCACAACCGCTTTTTCACTCCTTTGTGGAGGCTGCATGCAAAAGTTAGCTTGTTTTTTCGACCACATGATTCAGTACGGCTTGAAACGAAACTCAGTTTTGCAGGCTATCGAGACAGTAAACAAATGCAATAATTAGTGGTAACAAAAGTGCATTTTATTTAGAAATATTCGCTGAAAAACTACAAAAGGTTTGTTCTACTCGCTGTTTTTCTTTCACATCTGGTTTGTTTGTTGCTGTTTTTTTCTCGTTTGCTTTCAGCTTTGTTACCAAATTATGAAGAATACCTTTGACGAATTGACGAGTAGACCCGGGTTGGACAGCAAAAAGTTCTATGAAATGTAATAAAAACAGTAAAAATGATCCAATAAACTGATCCTCTCTAAATCAAACGCTGCGAGAGTTCGTCGATATTGTTACCAATTCCTACTATATTCATTTTGCATACACGTAAAAAGAAAAGACCGAAATGGTCCAAACTAGCTTAGTCAACTTAATGCAGTCTTTGCAAACAATTACACGATGAAAGCAATGTAGATTCTCTGTCACAACTTTGTCTAACGATCTTCGTATTTGACAAGAAATATGCGAAATGTAATAAAATTATACATTATATTTAATGAGCTGAAAATGTCTCTAGACATATCAAAATGATAAAATATGTTCGTCAATTGACAGTTGTCCATCCTGCCACGTACAGTTTAATATACACTGACTAAGACTTGTGACGCGGTGGGGCCATTATTCAGCCAATTTGAAACAATGTTTTGACTTGAACAAGTCTGCTTTTCTCTAATACAAGTGAAAAAAGATCAAAGAGATCTAAAGTAGCTTTCTTAACCTTAGTTGGTCTCTACAATTTGTGTAAACTTTACTTTGTACTTTGCTGTAAAAAGCGTGGCGGTTATAGCATCACTTCGATAACTAAAACTATTGCAAAACAATCTGACGATGAAAGTATTAAATGTAGTTATATTCTCTGTAACAACTTTGTCTAACGATCTTCGTATATGACAACAGGAAATATACCAAATATGATAAAATATATACATTAATTAATAAGTTGAAAATGTCTCTGGACATATTAAAGTGATAAAACACGTTCATCAATTGACAGTTGTCAAAATCCATCCTGCCACGTACAGTTTAGTATTCACTGACTAAGACTTGTGACGCAGTGGGGCCATTATTTAGCCAATTTGAAACAATGCTTTGACTTGAATAAATCCAATTTTCTCTAATACAAATAAAAAGAAATAAATGAGGCGATTAAAGTATCACCTCTGTAGCTAAAGCTATGTCAAAACAATCTGGCGGTGATATACTATGAAAAATTCTGTCACAACTTTATCTAACGATCTTCCTAATAAAAAGCAGGAAATATGCGAAATATGGTCAGATATATACATTACATTCATGTTAATAACGAGTTGAAACGTCACTGGGCACATCGAAAGTGATGACAAATGTTCGTCCACATCACAGTCATGTCAAAATCCATTCTTACACATGTGTGCTGCTGGCATTGTTCTGGCGGACATCATCAAAGCGTACAGTTTAGTATTCACTGACTAAGACTTGTGACGCAGTGGGGTCAGCCAATTTTAAACAATGCTTTGACTTGAATAAGTCTGCTTTTCTCTTGCTTGAACTGCACTGAAGTGATCAGGAGTACCTCTTTTACTCATTTGATGGATTCTGCGGCGAAAACGTTATGCCATTCGCGACAGGCCCCTGAAGATTGAAACTTACAACAAAATACACCAATGCCCCTGGTGTAAAGTCCCTCTCCACTTTGCCAATGTCTGCGTTCTTGCCAACATAAAGCTCAAGATTTCCCTGCACCAGCTCAATGTAGAGTGTTGACTTTCCTAGGTTACTTGATTGCTTCACTCGAATTCTTCCTTTGCACTCTAGCAATTTCCGTCTGCTATCAACTTGCCAAAATTTATCGGGAGAGTAGTCAGTTTGCCCAAGTAACTTGTTGCGACTAATGAGGCGAGACATACCTTTTCCTTCCTTGCCTACATAGATTGTGGCATAAAATCTTCGCAAATGATTCTGAGATTTTTCTTTGCACTTTTCCAAGGCTTTGATGTACATCGGCATAAACTCCAGTGTGTTGCCATCAAGAATCTGTAGGAAACAGATAACCATCTGGTAAAAATCTGGAAGGCAATCATGAGTTGAGACCACTGACCATTTCTCGCAGACGTGAAGACCTTGGTCAAGGCTGTAAGATCTTGCTCCGGTCACCAGCATGCAGACTTTCATCAAGTGATGAGCCAAGCGATACTCGTCCTCTTTCAGAACAAGATCTTCCAGAAGTTTGAGCAGGAACTCAAGATCTCCTTTCTTCAAACTATCGATTGGCTGCTCGCTGTTCGTCAACATGAAGTGGGCTTGAAGTCGTTTAAGCTCCAACTGCGATGACTCTCGGAAATGCTTAGTTGTACAAATTGCTCTGCAGGCCTGGACAATGTCTTCGTCAGCTTTAAGCCTGCCTAAAGGCACATATCGTCTGCGAAACGTCTTCATCAAAGACAACCTCAACTTGTTAGACAGCCGTTTCGTTTCCGCGGGATCTGCCAGATAAGACACACTTTGGACCATGTTATCAACAACATCCAAGAGATGAAAAGAATCACTTATGCAAGTCCGAAAGAAGGGAGGAGACCGATTAGTCACAAAAGTCAAAGTCTCTTCTGCATCGTGATTGCAAAGGTTGTTCATGATCCATTTAATGCACAGCAACCAAACGTCAACTTCGCCAATTAAAGGATGCGGGTAGGTTGGAGGGAAGGTTCGTGCTTCACGATGTGCCTGAAGAACTTTACAGGCCATTGCTTCCAGTCTGGTCAGATCCTCAACTTCCCCTCTATGGATCATGTCCTTCAGTTCAAAGTAGAGGACGACACCTTTAGTGTGACACAAATTTTTGTATCCACCTTTTGAAGGCGAAGATCCATGAACTTGCAAGGCACGTTGAATAAGTTCCTTTGCTTTTGGAAACGANAATTATGATGTAAACTAAGTGAGTGGAGTCCAAAGGAAGCATGGCTTGTAATATGACTCCGCAACTGGTCTCCGTGCAAAATTGTATTTAACAAACAAAGAAGCTTAAGCCGTGTATTACTCTGTGATAAAACACGACGGGCATTTGAGAACACGAGGGAAATGTAGAAAATTCGAGCCGCAGGCGAGTGTTCTCTACATTTCTCGAGTGTTCTCAAATGTCCAGACACAGTGTAACGGCTTAGGCTTCTTCATTTGCTTTATGATATATCAGAAAAGAGCCCTAGGAAAATACGCGCACTGATTGGTTAAAAATCGTGTTTCTATTAAACAATTAGATTATAAGCTCGAGATTTCTCAGCACGCATAGAAATCGAGACCGAATAATCTAATTGTTTTAGTATAAATCTACTAGTCGTTCAATACTTTATCTAAATCCTCTTCACAGACACCTCGAAAACGTAAAGAAGCGGCCGTCATCAGTTTTGTTAACAAGGGCACACTACTATGCTACTATCTATCACAGAATAGATCACGGTGATCGAGAGCAGCGTAGCCAATCAGATATCGAGAACGGCATTCGTGATAGTACGCTAGTCGATTTATATTAAAACTCGATAGAAACACGGTGCATGTTTTCTATTTCTTAAATAAAACATGGGTTTTTGACCAATCAGAGCGCGCGCAGGGTCCTATACTATAAAACAAAACAATATAAGAAAAAAAAATACGTATCGCAACGTTTAAATTCTAGCTGTTCAAGACAGTCAAAAATACAGTTCCTCGAATACAATATAGTTGCTCCAAGAGAAGAAAACAGAAAACCTGCCATACCCCCGTGCTCTTCGGTCGCATCAGCACCACTCACGTGCAGTGCACTGTGCCATTGAAACCTAACTACCTACGTGTAGCCGCACGATCCTTTGTCAGGAACAGCAAGCGATTTGAAACAATGTTCTGGTTTATTTTCTCGGCACTTAGAAATCGATGGAAAATTCGTGGTGTGGCTGGAAAAAAGAACCAACTTCATGTGGAAAATTCGTGGTGTGACTGGAAAAGGAAACAGCTTCTTGTAACATAGAGCAACAAATTGCTCCCACAACCGCTTTTTCACTCCTTTGTGGAGGCTGCATGCAAAAGTTAGCTTGTTTTTTCGACCACATGATTCAGTACGGCTTGAAACGAAACTCAGTTTTGCAGGCTATCGAGACAGTAAACAAATGCAATAATTAGTGGTAACAAAAGTGCATTTTATTTAGAAATATTCGCTGAAAAACTACAAAAGGTTTGTTCTACTCGCTGTTTTTCTTTCACATCTGGTTTGTTTGTTGCTGTTTTTTTCTCGTTTGCTTTCAGCTTTGTTACCAAATTATGAAGAATACCTTTGACGAATTGACGAGTAGACCCGGGTTGGACAGCAAAAAGTTCTATGAAATGTAATAAAAACAGTAAAAATGATCCAATAAACTGATCCTCTCTAAATCAAACGCTGCGAGAGTTCGTCGATATTGTTACCAATTCCTACTATATTCATTTTGCATACACGTAAAAAGAAAAGACCGAAATGGTCCAAACTAGCTTAGTCAACTTAATGCAGTCTTTGCAAACAATTACACGATGAAAGCAATGTAGATTCTCTGTCACAACTTTGTCTAACGATCTTCGTATTTGACAAGAAATATGCGAAATGTAATAAAATTATACATTATATTTAATGAGCTGAAAATGTCTCTAGACATATCAAAATGATAAAATATGTTCGTCAATTGACAGTTGTCCATCCTGCCACGTACAGTTTAATATACACTGACTAAGACTTGTGACGCGGTGGGGCCATTATTCAGCCAATTTGAAACAATGTTTTGACTTGAACAAGTCTGCTTTTCTCTAATACAAGTGAAAAAAGATCAAAGAGATCTAAAGTAGCTTTCTTAACCTTAGTTGGTCTCTACAATTTGTGTAAACTTTACTTTGTACTTTGCTGTAAAAAGCGTGGCGGTTATAGCATCACTTCGATAACTAAAACTATTGCAAAACAATCTGACGATGAAAGTATTAAATGTAGTTATATTCTCTGTAACAACTTTGTCTAACGATCTTCGTATATGACAACAGGAAATATACCAAATATGATAAAATATATACATTAATTAATAAGTTGAAAATGTCTCTGGACATATTAAAGTGATAAAACACGTTCATCAATTGACAGTTGTCAAAATCCATCCTGCCACGTACAGTTTAGTATTCACTGACTAAGACTTGTGACGCAGTGGGGCCATTATTTAGCCAATTTGAAACAATGCTTTGACTTGAATAAATCCAATTTTCTCTAATACAAATAAAAAGAAATAAATGAGGCGATTAAAGTATCACCTCTGTAGCTAAAGCTATGTCAAAACAATCTGGCGGTGATATACTATGAAAAATTCTGTCACAACTTTATCTAACGATCTTCCTAATAAAAAGCAGGAAATATGCGAAATATGGTCAGATATATACATTACATTCATGTTAATAACGAGTTGAAACGTCACTGGGCACATCGAAAGTGATGACAAATGTTCGTCCACATCACAGTCATGTCAAAATCCATTCTTACACATGTGTGCTGCTGGCATTGTTCTGGCGGACATCATCAAAGCGTACAGTTTAGTATTCACTGACTAAGACTTGTGACGCAGTGGGGTCAGCCAATTTTAAACAATGCTTTGACTTGAATAAGTCTGCTTTTCTCTTGCTTGAACTGCACTGAAGTGATCAGGAGTACCTCTTTTACTCATTTGATGGATTCTGCGGCGAAAACGTTATGCCATTCGCGACAGGCCCCTGAAGATTGAAACTTACAACAAAATACACCAATGCCCCTGGTGTAAAGTCCCTCTCCACTTTGCCAATGTCTGCGTTCTTGCCAACATAAAGCTCAAGATTTCCCTGCACCAGCTCAATGTAGAGTGTTGACTTTCCTAGGTTACTTGATTGCTTCACTCGAATTCTTCCTTTGCACTCTAGCAATTTCCGTCTGCTATCAACTTGCCAAAATTTATCGGGAGAGTAGTCAGTTTGCCCAAGTAACTTGTTGCGACTAATGAGGCGAGACATACCTTTTCCTTCCTTGCCTACATAGATTGTGGCATAAAATCTTCGCAAATGATTCTGAGATTTTTCTTTGCACTTTTCCAAGGCTTTGATGTACATCGGCATAAACTCCAGTGTGTTGCCATCAAGAATCTGTAGGAAACAGATAACCATCTGGTAAAAATCTGGAAGGCAATCATGAGTTGAGACCACTGACCATTTCTCGCAGACGTGAAGACCTTGGTCAAGGCTGTAAGATCTTGCTCCGGTCACCAGCATGCAGACTTTCATCAAGTGATGAGCCAAGCGATACTCGTCCTCTTTCAGAACAAGATCTTCCAGAAGTTTGAGCAGGAACTCAAGATCTCCTTTCTTCAAACTATCGATTGGCTGCTCGCTGTTCGTCAACATGAAGTGGGCTTGAAGTCGTTTAAGCTCCAACTGCGATGACTCTCGGAAATGCTTAGTTGTACAAATTGCTCTGCAGGCCTGGACAATGTCTTCGTCAGCTTTAAGCCTGCCTAAAGGCACATATCGTCTGCGAAACGTCTTCATCAAAGACAACCTCAACTTGTTAGACAGCCGTTTCGTTTCCGCGGGATCTGCCAGATAAGACACACTTTGGACCATGTTATCAACAACATCCAAGAGATGAAAAGAATCACTTATGCAAGTCCGAAAGAAGGGAGGAGACCGATTAGTCACAAAAGTCAAAGTCTCTTCTGCATCGTGATTGCAAAGGTTGTTCATGATCCATTTAATGCACAGCAACCAAACGTCAACTTCGCCAATTAAAGGATGCGGGTAGGTTGGAGGGAAGGTTCGTGCTTCACGATGTGCCTGAAGAACTTTACAGGCCATTGCTTCCAGTCTGGTCAGATCCTCAACTTCCCCTCTATGGATCATGTCCTTCAGTTCAAAATAAAGGACAACACCTTTAGTGTGACACAAATTTTTGTATCCACCTTTTGAAGACGAAGATCCATGAACTTGCAAGGCACGTTGAATAAGTTCCTTTGCTTTTGGAAACGATGGAGGTTCCTTCTTGGCACAAAATCGTGCTGCGTTGGCGAACATCACCGAGTCATTTGTCTTCTCAGCTACTTTACAAAAGATTTCGGCTGCACGATTTGAGTCAGTATTCTTCAGCTCTTCAAACAGAATGGAGAATTTGAACTTCTCGATGTGTCCTGTCTTGACCTTGTTGTAGATGAACAGTTCGTTAAATACAGGTAGCAGCGTTTCGTGTTGGTAGATGGGAAACTGAAGAAATCGGTCCACTATTCCAAAAAGGTCACGCTTCTGCTCTAGATACACCCTCTTAAGCACTAAGTCTGCGACTAATGGATGCTGAAACGTGTAGCTTTCTGGTGGCTTTTGGTTTCCAGAAGGTGTTGGCTTTGCAGGTATCATTAAATTCATGAGGTACTCAGAGAAAAGCTGCGTAATATCATCGTAGGTAGCACTCTTCTTGTTATCTGGCAGGACCGTGAACTGTTTGAAAGCTTCATGCAGAAGAATTGCTGGGGTCGGAAGATTTGCATACTTTTGTAAGAAGGCCACAACTGCAGCGATTTCTTGTTGAATTCCGCCCAGTTCGTTGAAGGTGTCTTCGATTATCTTCACAAGTTTAGGACGAAACTCTTCCATCATGGAAAGAAGGGGGAAATGGAACACACGACATAGGCCAGATAGGACTTGTCTCTTGACCAGTGCCTCGTCAATGGTGACCAGGTACTCTTTGTACTTCGACTTGAACTCATTCAGATCTGTGACCGATTCTTCCAATTTAACATTAACATGAAACACTTTGTGCACGTGAGAAGACTCCTTTTCCTGCACTCCTTTTGAAGAGGCTTTTGATCCTCGGAGACAGCGCAATAAAATGGCCCGTTTTCCCCTGCTTTGAAGAATTCGTGCAAGTTTGTTTGAGAGGCCTTCTATAGCACCGGACTGTTTTCCATCGATCAAAACTAGTGGAGTTGTGTTGCATATTTCTTCAATCGATGATATTCTCTCTGCAAGTGCGTTCGCAAAGACGTTGTCTTCATCCAAGTAGTGATGAGAGCTGATGTCGATTAATCCGCATGGGTATTCCTTGTGCAGATCCCACAGTACACGGCGGGCAATTGTTGTGCCCCCAGCGCCTGGAGAATGTCTAATTTCCACAATGCTCGGCCGTGCTAGGCCTTGGTCAAGGAGCCGTTGAACGTGTATCTGGATGTCTCTCTCGATTTCTCTTCTAGCATCATGATTGTCAAAGAGACTGGCAAACGAAATTTCATTTCCGGACAAGAATGACTTTCTCTGCTCCTCTAAGTATGTCT